CATCTTTGAAATCTTTTAATAAAGCGACCAAGCACTCGCGTTCCTCTGAAGACACCGTGGACCCGATCTGGACCAGCCGCGGGTCCTTCTCAGTACCAACATTCACAGTAGTGATTTCATCTATTCTAGTGGATACGTCTCCTTTTCTAAGAAGTTCCAGATGTCGTAATACCAGGGGTTGCCGTCTTGAGCCTCATCTATGGCGGAAATCGACTCGTATGCTGGCGCAAACTTTTGATCAATAATGACTGGACGCATCCGGACTCCGGACGGGATGTCTATCATGGAAGATAGAGTTGCTAGTGAATCTGCGAACCTGTTGTTCTCTCTTACGAGGTGGGTGAAATTTAGCTTCTCAAACCGAGGAATTAACAAATCCAAGGTTTGGTGGTAAATTATCATCCTTTCCTCCTTGATTCAACTATGCCCCAAATTTATTGCTTATTTAGCATTTTCAAATTTTCTTTATGAATGTAATAAAAAAAAAGCAACCTCGATTGCATGCAAGAGCAGGAGAACTCTGTTTTGAAATCAATAAAATTGAAGGTTGTGGTACTGAAAATTTTCCGCTTTGGTCCAAAAATGGTCTTAGTCGTAAAAAGATTAATTTGAACAAAGTCGATTTTTATTAAAACGTTTCAAAACTATTTTCGATGTGGATCAGAACTGGACACGCCGAAGATCTGTCACTGAGATGCACAACCCCAGATCCCTGCAACCGGAAAGTTGCCCCTAGTCTGAAGAACAATGCGGCACTTCATGGCAACGGAAAGTTGCCCCTAGTCTGAGTAACTTTGCACCCTCGCGGCAACGGAAAGTTGCCCCTAGTTTGAATAGCACTGTACCGGAGATCGTGATAAATGCTGATGGATAAAGAAGACTGAGATGATCAAAATGGACAGAGTTGATCGGGGAAAATTTTATGGCTGAACCTCAATGTGAAGTTGCCTACGTATCCCAAAGATGGGAATCAAGCCTTACGTAGTTCAGGCTCAGGTTCGCTCGAGTATTTTCACTCTCCTTTTGCGCTCTAACTTTTGCCAAGGTTATTTAAGGTAAACATTTTATTAAATCATTCATCAGAGTATTATTAATTAGAAGCATCACATGTATCCGGACTTAGGATCCGTAGATTCTGTCATTGTATAAGTGTAGTTGTTGTCCTTTATTTTCTCTTTTGGAATTATAGGATGTGTTGGGCAGGTTTGTTTCAGGTTGGTTGGGTTTAGAAACCAAGTGTTGCTGTCCAGGTTTTTGGTGTTTCGCTCGAGCGAGGAGTTGGTCGCTCGAGCGAGATGTTGTTTTGGTTCTTCGCTCGAGCTGGGGTTTGGTCGCTCGAGCGAGAGATGGCGTCCTATATGGACCTGTAGCTTTGCATTCTTGGCTCGAGTGAGATTTTCTTCGCTCGAGCGAGTTAGTTCATCCTTCGCTCGAGCTATAGTTCCTGCGAGATGTCGTTTTGGTTCTTCGCTCGAGCTGGGGTTTGGTCGCTCGAGCGAGAGATGGCGTCCTGTATGGACCTGTAGCTTTGCATTCTTGGCTCGAGCGAGCTATTCTTCGCTCGAGCGAGTTAGTTCATCCTTCGCTCGAGCTATAGTTCCTTCGCTCGAGCGTGTGTCTGGGTTCAGACCTGAGGGTTTGAGTTCTTCGCTCGATCGAGTTTTCTTTCGCTCGAGCGAGCGTTTGGGTTGCTGGCTCGAGCAAGGCTTCCTTGGCTCGAGCGTAGTTCCTTGTGTCTGGTCGCTCGAGCGACCAAGTCTTCGCTTGAGCGAGCCTGTCCAGTTTATATACAAAGCAGCGGGATTTGATCAGCCTTTTTCATTTTCTTTTGATTCCAAACCCTAGGTCCGACTTCTCTCTCTCCCTACTCACCTTCTTTCTTAGATTTGATCCACTTAGGGTGTGTTTCTACCCTAGTTGCTGTATTAAATATATAGAGGGAGTAGAGGGCTTTCATTTAATCTGAGCATTTGGCGATATGGAGCACATTAGTATTTGGGCACTCATCTCTGTCTTCACCATTTGTGTTATTTTCTTCAAGGTAGGGATTTCCTACTCCATTTTATAGGTTTTGTTCTAAGTTTTGGTATTTTAACATGTTGGGGTTACTTTGGTAAATTCTGGGAAAAACCCTAGTTTTAGTAATAAATTAAATTGTATAGTTAATTCATGAAATTGGGGAAAATCATTGATTAAATGGCATAGCTGGATCATTTGAATTATTTGTCTTTTGAATTGTTGACATGGTTATTTTCAGTATATTTATTTCCAGTCTAGCAATAACTGTTTTGGGCTATCGGTGGAGGATAGTCGTGTTTGTTGTAGACATTTCATGTGGATTAGGAATAACTGAAACTAATCA